CGCCAGCGCGATGGCAGCCTCCCAGCGTCCGGCGGCGGCGAGGGCGGCGGTGGGGAGGGCGGCGCAGCCAGGCGACCGCAGTGAGCAGCCGCCGGTCACCGTGCTAACCTTCCATCAGCCGCTCGCATCGATCATAGCATACGGCTTGCAGCGCCTGGACGGCCGCGTGTGGAGCAGTCGCCACCGTGGACCACTGTGGATCCACGCCGCAGCTCACGAGCCGAGACCCTCCGATATTGCAATGATGGAGGACTTTGTGAGGCACACCTACTCGCTCGACGCTCCGGGCGAGCCAACGCTCCCGCCGGCCTATCCAACATCAGCTCTCGTCGGCTGCGTCGAGATGGCGGACTGCGTGCAGGCGAGCGAGTTTGACGGCTGGGCGCGCACGCTGCCCGACGGTGCGCGCGAGGAGGCGACGGCGCATGGCCGCGATTACTACTTCCTCTTCTGCAGGCACCGCCGGCTCCGCCAGCCGATCCAGATGAGCGGCCGGCACAAGCTGTGGCGCCTCGATCGGAAGCTGGCGGCGGCGCTGTGGGAGGGCGGCCTCGCGCCATCGGAGCTGCTTCCTATCGACTGGCTCGGCCACAGGCAGGCGGCTGTCTCTGGAGCTGCAACAGTGCCCGTGCCTGTCCCGCTGGGTGAGACGCAGGCGCCGCGTGAGCCACGTGCGCTGCCACCGCCGCCGCCCGCCGCCGCCGCCGCCGCCGCGCGACCAGCCACGTCTTCAGCTCACTGCGACGACGGCTTTGACGACGGCTTTGACGGCTGGATGTTGGCCGAGGCCCTCCGCCTCTCCCAGCTCGGCGCTGGAGAAGGGAGCCCGCTGCTGCCCCGGCCTCCTCCGTCTTCTCGAAGCGAAGGCGCCGGTGCGGCGAGTGCGCGGCGTGCGGCCGCCGCAGACGAGGACGCTGCGTTGGCGCGAGTGCTCCAGCAGGCTGAGCTGGAGGAGTCCGACGCCGCCTGGGGCGCCGCCTTGGCCGCGGTGGCGGCAGAGGAGGCTGCGGAGGCGGCGGTGGTGTCCGAGGCGACCAGGCTAGAGGCGGAGGCGGCGGCGGAAGCGCTGGCAGCGGCTGAGGCAGCGGCGGCGGTGGAGGCGGCCGCGCTGGAGGCGGCACAGGCGGCGGAGGAGGAGGAGGTCCTCGCGGCGGTGCTGCGGGCGCGCGAGATTGAGATGCTGCAGGCGGAGGGTCGAGGCGGAGGGCCGGGGCAGGACGCCGGGAGCATCGAGCACGGGAGCGAGCTGCACGATTCTGGCTCCACCTTCCAGGCGCACCTGTGCGGCATCGCCAGTGCGGATGCTGCGCTCGCCGCCCTGTCTGCCGTCCACCGCGACAGCCGCGTGCGCCACGCCGCGTGCGTGCCGTGGGCGTATCGCGTGGTTGAGGGTGGGAGCGGGGTGGTGAAGCGGGGCTGCGATGACGGTGGCGAGGCTGGTGCTGCTAGCCGCTTGGCAGAGCTGCTCGAGACGGCCGGAGCCGCCAACGTGCTCGTGGCAGTCAGCCGGCGTGTGGATGGGCCGATGCTGGGCGGCCGGCGCTTTAACCACTTCCTGAACTGCGCCCGCGAGCTGCTGGAGCAGTGCGGCTACGACCGGCGACCCGCCCTCCGGCGGGAGGCTGCGCGCGGGGCGAGCGGCAGCAGCCGCGGTGGGCAGCAGCCGGGTGCGACGCCGGCGAGCAGCGGGGGCCAGCACGATAGGCGGGTCTACGTGCCAACGAGAAGGCAGCGCCAGTACTCTGCCACCCACAAGAACCACGGCTGATGCGTGATGTGCGAGGCGTCGCGCCGCGCGTTGTGGTATGTGAGCTCGTCTGGCCCTCGTATATCGCGCCAGAGAGGGGCGGGCCGTTGGTGCCGCGTCGCGGGCGTCGGCGCGGACCGCGGTGTGCGTGTGGCCCCTCGCGTTCCGTGGGGGCCCACACATCTCCGAGGGCGGCGCGAGGACCAGAGTTGGAGTCAGAGTGACGTACAGGGAAACTAGAACAAAATAGAGCCTCGCGCACAAGCCGAACGAACGACAAAGCGCGGCTGAGAGTCACACGTGACACCGCCGCGCCGCAGAGCGCAGTCGAGTGGCTGATCGGCCCATGCATGCCCGTGCGCCGCGCGCGGCCGCCCCGCGCACACAAAACGCGTGAGGGCCAAACGAGCTAAGATCCACGCGCAACGGTCGGAGATCCGACCAATCGGGCTCTCGAGCGCTACAGAAGTGACGGCGCCACGGCGAGTCTCTGGTGCCTAGTGTGCGTGTGCGCCTGCCAGGTCAGTGCGCCTGCCAGGCGATGTGCCTACCGCGATCTGTAGTCAGCTGTGCGGGCTGTCGTGGGCTTGTGGCGCCATAACCCCGGCAGGCCGGACGAAACCGACGCTCTGCCACGCCCCAAGGTGCCCGCCGCCCCTCCCCCCTCTGCCCCTCCCCCGCCGCCCTACTGCCCGACCGAGCACGACCACCACTCCTCGTTGTAGAGCACCGCCATGCGCGACTTGAACCAGACGCGCACCGGCACCGCAGGCTCTCGCTCCGGGTGCTGGAATGTGAAGCCGGCGACGCCCGGGTGCGCCGCGGCCCACGCCTTGGCCTCGGCGAAGGTCATGCAGGCGACGTGCACGTCGTCGCCCGCCAGGCAGTGCCCGCGGTACATGCCCTCGTGCAGCGGCCTGCGCACGCGGCGCCTTTGCGTGAGCGGCGGGCGGGCGGGCGGGCGGGCGGGCGGGCGGGCGGGCGGGCGGGCGGGCGGGCGGCGCGCGCCCGACGAGGGTCTGCTCCGCCGCGTCGACGGGCTGGGACGGCTGTCCGTCCTCGCGGAAGGACTGGCGGATCCAGACCTGCGAGACCCACTTTGTGCCGACGGGAGGCAGCCCCGCGTGCAGCGCGTCGAGGTCGAGCTCGCCGTTGAGGAAGCCGGGGAAGAAGATGACCGCCATCCCCTTCTTCGGCTTGATCTCGAGGTTGAGCCGCCGGAAGAAGGTGCCGCCCCCGCCCTCGGGCACGTTGAGGTACATCAGCACCGTCCCGATCCGCTGCCCGCCGCTCGCGCAAAACGCCTTGCCCGCCGTCGTCTGCGGCGGGGAGGAGGCGGCGGTGAGGGAGCGGGCGGGCGGGCGGGCGGGTGGGCGGCGGCGGCGGCGGCGCGTGGGCGGCGCACGTGCGGGTCGACGCCGTCGTAGTGCTCGACGTACCGCTGCCCCTCGGTGTAGCGCGCGACCTGTGGCAGCTCCATGTGGTCGAAGGGCTTGCCGGTGAGCGCCTGGATCTTGGAGAGGAGGGCGGGGCACGGGTCCGCCTTCTTGGACAGGTGGCACGTCAGCGACGTCCGCCCGCGCGTCGCCTCGGAGCCGGCGACCGCGTGCGTCTTGGAGCGCTGCAGCAGCGGCGTGGCCACCTGCGAGCGCGGGCCGGGCCGGGTGGGCGAGCGCACGCCGGGAGCTCGGGCCACGCCACCGGGCTGCCGCCCTCTCCGCCCGGCGTGGCGCGCGCCTGCATCAAAGCGGCGCACTCGTCGTCGCTCAAGAAGTCATCACACACATAGATTGGAGGCCGCTCGTTTATTCTCCGCAGCCCGGGGTGGTCAGGCTTCAGGCGCATGTAACGCTCATCGTTCGTATCCGCCGCCTCGCCCTTCAGAGCACGACTCATTGTCCCATTTTGCGTGCGAGCCGACTGCGTGACAACAGTAGCGGAGCCGCTGACGGCGGTGGCTGCCTTTGCACCCTCACGCGAGCCTGTGCTCAAGTGCAGGCCCGACATCATGCGGCTGAGCGGCCCCGTCTGGCGGACGGAGCCGCTCCGTCCCGGCATGAAGGTGAGGGGGATGGCGACTAGCGGCAGCGCCAGGTGCGCTACGCGCAGTGATAGCGGCGCGGAGGTGACCGCCTTGCCAAGCGGTTGGTCGCCTCCGCACCCCGGGGGCCAAAGTGCACAATTGTAATCCTTTTGTGATGCAACCGGAGACCCTTCCCACACCGTGTGCCGCATCGGAGCTAGAGTGGAGCGCGTCGGAGGGTGTTTCGACACCGGCACGGGCGCCGTAACTTTGGTTTTAACTGCAAGAGAAGACAGCCCAAACGATTGGAAAAAAGAAAGAAAACAAGGCAAACGACGGATGGGAGGACAAACCTGTGTTAGTGCCAGTGCGCGCCAGTCCCGTGCCCAGTGTAAACAGAAAAGAAAACAGACAACCCAAGAGAGGGATGGGAGAACGGCACGCCGCCACCACACAGGGATTTTAAGGAGAGGGGTGTGGTGCGATAGCCGTCGCGCCGCAAATTCTTTTTTCGCATCTAGACTCCTCCCTCGCGGACACCGCGGAGGCGCTCCTAGCGGAGGCGCAAGTTTGTAGTCTGCGGCTGGACGCTTTTTTTAGGCCCAAGTTCGGCGTCTGCGGCTGGACGCGCAGGCGCCGCGGACATTTCAGCATGTACGGGGTGGCCCCGCAAACGCTGCATGCTCACGGGCTCGGCAATGATCAAGCGGAAGCGGCGCCTATGATCTGGTACATGCCGCTGAACATGGGTTACCCAGGGCTGAAGCGCATTCACGAGCAGCCTCCCATCTACGTCTGCCACGACTTCTTGAGCGACGACGAGTGCGCCGCTTTGATGCAGGCGCGCGCCACGCCGGGCGGAGAGGGCGGCAGCCCGGTGGCGTGGCCCGAGCTCCCGGCGTGCGCTCGCCCACCCGGCCCGGCCCGCGCTCGCAGGTGGCCACGCCGCTGCTGCAGCGCTCCAAGACGCACGCGGTCGCCGGCTCCGAGGCGACGCGCGGGCGGACGTCGCTGACGTGCCACCTGTCCAAGAAGGCGGACCCGTGCCCCGCCCTCCTCTCCAAGATCCAGGCGCTCACCGGCAAGCCCTTCGACCACATGGAGCTGCCGCAGGTCGCGC